CCCCTGACAGATGGCCATCCATCTCTGTTTAAAAGCTTCCAAAGAAGGAGCCTCCACCACACTCCAGGGCAGAGAGTTCCACTGCTGAACGGCTCTCACAGTCAGGAAGTTCTTCCTCATGTTCAGATGGAATCTCATTTCTTGTAGTTTGAAGCCATTGTTCCTTGTCCTAGTCTCCAAGGAAGCAGTAAACAAGCTTGCTCCCTCCTCCCTGTGGCTTCCTCTCACGTATTTATACATGGCTATCATATCCCCTCTCAGCCTTCTCTTCTTCAGGCTAAACATGCCCAGCTCCTTTAGCCGCTCCTCATAGGGCTTGTTCTCCAGACCTTTTATCCAGAATCCCAAAAGAACATTAAGGGTGATTGGAAACCATACTATCAAATGGTGGGGGTCCTCAAGGTCATAACAAGTCTCCTTATGGAGAGAAAAAGCAAGGTATCAATAAATCAATCAATATATATATATATATAAATGTAATGTTCGTTTGTGGGATTAACAGAACTCAAAAACCAATTGTAGTTCACCTACATCCAGAGATCACTGTGGACTCAAACAATGATGGATCTGGACCAAACTCTACACGAATACTCAATATGCCCAGATGTGAACACTGGTGGAGTTTGGGGAAAATAGAATCTTGTCATTTGGGAGTTGTAGTTGCTGGGATTTATAGTTCACCTACAATCAAAGAGCATTCTGAACTCCACCAACAATGGAACTCAACCAATCTTGGGACACAGTTCTCCCATGACCAACAGAAAATACTGGAAGGGTTTGGTGGGCAGTGTCCTTTGGTTTTGGAGTTGTAGTTCACCCACATCCGGAGATCACTGTGGACTCAAACAATGATGGATCTGGACCAAACTCTACACGCATACTCAATATGCCCAAATGTGAACACTGGTGGAGTTTGGGGGAAATAGAATCTTGACATTTGGGAGTTGTAGTTGCTGGGATTTATAGTTCACCTACAATCAAAAAGCAATCTGGGCTTTCTGAACCCCTGAAGATGCAGGTCAAGAATAGGGCTCCACAGTCACCTACGGACCCACCGCCAGTACACTGAACCTCGAAGACTATCCTACTCTGACAATGAGGAATTGCCTAAGTAAGTAAATACCATACCTGTTACATTCACATTATATTAGTGGCAAATAATATCCACTAATATTCATGCAAGGCATTTAGGTTTCTCAGCTGTTAGACTGCTATACCTCGATATTCTCTTTGAACTGATAGGGACAAAGATATGCCAATGCACTTTCTCTCTCTCTCTATATATATATTGCAGAGTTTCAAAAATGTTCTTTCAGTTGTTCAGTTGGTTTCAATCAATGGTTCTCAACCTGTGGGTCCCCATGTGTTTTGGCCTACAACTCCCAGAAATCCCAGCCAGTTTACCAGTGGTTAGGATTTCTGGGAGTTGAAGGCCAAAACATCTGGAGAATTGGGCCAAACCTCCCACACAGAACCCCCATGTGGGCCACAGCAATGCATGGCAGGGGACGGCTAGTCTATATAAATAAAAATGTAATGTTCGTTTGTGGGATTAACATAACTCAAAAACCACTGGACGAATTGACACATAATGTGGACACAATACAGAAGCAAACTGAGGATACAGTTGTAATGTCCAGGTTGTTATAGGCTTTTCGGGCTGTATGGCCATGTTCTAGAAGCATTCTCTCCTGACATTTCGCCTGCATCTATGGCAGGCATCCTGTTGGAAACTAGGAACATCTTTCTATGTAAATAAAAATGTAATGTTCGTGTGAGATTAATATAACTCAAAAACGACTGGACAAATTGACACCAAATTTGGACACAAGACACCTATCAGGCTAACGAGTGACCATCACTCAAAAAACTGATTTTGTCATTTTGGAGTTGTAGTCGCTGGGATTTATAGTTAACCTACAATCAAAGAGCATTCTGAACTCCACCAATGATGGAATTGAACCAAATGTGCCACACAAAACTCCCATGACCAACAGAAAACACTAGAAGGGTTTGGTGGGCATTGACCTTGATTTTGGGAGTTGTAGTTCACCTACATCCAGAGAGCACTGTGGACTGAAACAATGATGGACCAAACTTGGCATGAATATTCCATATGCCCAAATATGAACACAGATGGAGTTTGGAGGAAATAGATCTTGGCATTTGGGTGTTGTAGTTACTGGGATTTATAGTTCACCTACAATAAAAGCATTCTGAACCCCACCAACGACAGAATTGGGGAAAACTTCCCACACAGAACCCCCATGACCAACAGAAAATACTTAAGGCCATTCACTCCAAGTCCTTTCACCAGGGCAAACCAAACTTGGATTGTATAGTTCACCTACAGTCAAAGAGCATTCGAACCCCACAAAGGACGGAATTGGGCTAAACTTCCCACACAGGTTTTTCGGGCTGTATGGCCATGTTCTAGAAGTATTCTCTCCTGACGTTTCTCCTGCATCTATGGCAGGCATCCTCAGAGGTTGTGTTTTCTTTCGCTTCCTGTTGTATCAGCCCTGTTCTTAACTCTGAGTCCTTTGTAAGTTGGATGTTTGTAAGTCGGGGACGTCCGGCAATCATGAAAATAGCATCCTTGAGGGGCAGCATGTATGGCCGAACCTATTAGCACCGGGACTGTGGCGTAGCTGGCTGGGAGTCAGCTGCATTTAGATCACTACATGAGTTCGAAGCCAGCCCAAGTCGGAGTGAGCTTCCGACCAAAATTGTGTAGCTTGTTGTCAACCTTTGCAGGCCGAAAGACAGTTGCATCTGTCAAGTAGGAAATTTAGGTACCACTTATGTGGGGAGGTTAATTTAACTGATTTACGAGGCCATAAAAATCTCCAAGAAGTATGCAAAGAATGAGGAAGTACTTCATTAGTGTAACAAATGGACGGCGATGTGACAGCTCCCCTGGTGGCCAGAAGCTGTAATGTTAAATAGCCTCTGAGAGTCTGTATATGTCCGTGATGGCAAACCTATGACACGCGTGTCAGTACTGACACGCATAGCCATTTCTACTGACACGCGCCCGCCGGATATTATTTGTTTATTTATTTTATGCCATTTAAAAAAATTAATAGGAAATTATTATTTTGCAATATTAAGGAGTTTCATATTTAAACTGAATGATAAATACTATTACTTTGCCATATTATTCAAATATTAAAATGCATTAAATTAAATGTCAAATTTAAAAACATTTAATTATTAATATTTAGGTAACATTGCAAAATAATATTGGTTTATTTAATTATTAAGTAAACGAATATTATTTTGCATTGTTTCCTAAATATTAAGGAGTTACATATTTAAATTAAATTAAATGATAAATAATACTTTGTGTGTCCCTGTTGGTGCTGCTGGACCTCTCAGCGGCCTTCGATACCGTCGACCACGGTATCCTTCTGGGACGCCTCGCAGGGATGGGTCTTGGAGGTACTGTTTTGCAGTGGCTCCGGTCATTCCTGGAGGGTCGATCTCAGAAGGTGTTGTTGGGGGACACCTGTTCAACCCCACAACCATTGTCTTGTGGGGTTCCTCAGGGCTCAATATTGTCTCCCATGTTGTTTAACATCTACATGAAGCCGCTGGGGAGATCATCCGGAGTTTCGGGGTACGGTGTCATCTGTACGCGGATGATGTCCAACTCTGTCACTCCTTTCCACCTGCTACTAAGGAGGCTGTCCAGGTCCTGAACCGGTGCTTGGCCGCTGTGACGGTCTGGATGAGGGCGAACAAATTGAAATTGAATCCAGACAAGACAGAGGTACTCCTGGTCAGTCGCAAGGCCGAACAGGGCATAGGGTTACAGCCTGTATTGGATGGGGCCGCACTCCCCCTGAAGACGCAGGTTCGCAGCTTGGGTGTGACCCTGGACTCATCGCTGAGCCTGGAACCCCAGGTTTCAGCGGTGACCAGGGGAGCATTTGCACAGCTAAAGCTTGTGCGCCAGCTGCGCCCGTACCTTGGGAAGTCTGACTTGGCCACGGTAGTCCACGCTCTGGTTACATCCCGTTTAGATTACTGCAACGCTCTCTACGTGGGGCTGCCTTTGAAGACAGCTCGGAAGCTCCAACTAGTCCAACGCTCGGCAGCCATGATTTTAACAGGAGCGGAGCGCAGGGAGCATACAACCCCCCTGTTGCGCCACCTCCACTGGCTACCGATCTGCTACCGGGCTGAATTCAAAGTGCTGGCGTTGGCCTTTAAAGCCCTAAACGGTTCCGGCCCAAGCTACCTATCCGACCGCATCTCTGCCTATGAACCCACCAGGACTTTGAGATCTTCCGGGGAGACCCTGCTCTCGATCCCGCCTGCTTCTCAAGCTCGGCTGGCGGGGACGAGAGATAGGGCCTTCTCGGTGGTGGCTCCTCGGCTGTGGAACGCCCTTCCTACGGATATTAGACTAGCACCATCTCTAATGGTATTCCGCAAAAAAGTGAAGACCTGGCTGTTTGAGCAGGATGGATGACGAATCTGGAACATGTTTTTGATGACGAGACGACAGTGAATGGGTATTGTAGGAACTGTTTATTAATTGTGTAATGTGTTAGGTTGTGAACTGTTTCTATACTGTAGCACTGAATTTTTGCTGTTCGTATTTGTTGTGAACCGCTGTGAGTCGCCTTCGGGCTGAGAACAGCGGTATATAGTAAGGTAAATAAATAAATAAATAAATAAATTATATTATTATATTATATTACGAAAATAATTACGAAATAATTACGAAAATTGGAAACATTGTTTCGATTCTTAATTACTCCTCACACTATTCCTGCATGGCTCAATATCGGATCGTAAGCTAATTTAAATACGAATTAATAATGAATTACGAAATTAACGAACGAAACTGCCCAAGCCTATTTGCCATGTTTATGTACATTGTAATCCGCCCTGAGTCCCCTGCGGGGTGAGAAGGGGGAAATATAAATACTGTAAATAAGTAAATAAAATAAATAATCTAATCCTTGTTCTTCTTTCCACCAAGGTAAAAGGAGATGGAATCACTCTTCCGACCCTTTAAATGTGGCTTTGGGGAAGTGCCACAGTTGTTGTTGCTGCTGGAGAGTCGCGGCCACGCTTTCCAGACCGCCAGGAGTTTGGCCACGCTGAGGAAGTCACTCTGGGGAGAGCACAAAGAGGCCCCAACCGAAGCGCGCCGTCCACGGGCAAAGCGTCACCCCGAAGCGGCAAATCCTAAAGAAAGTAGTGACCCCTCGAAACCCAAGGGGACCCTTCTTAAGAAATTCTGGCGGCAATTCCGTGCCCAAGCTGCGCCGCCCGGCGTCACGGAGCTGCAGAGACTGCGTGACGACGATTTCCCTCGGAAGAAGAGAGTCCTTCCTGTCGAAAGGACCGACGGCTCGGAGATCTTGTTCGGGATCGCTCCCTGCTCTATGGCCTTGGCCACCGCAAAGAGGAGCTTTTCCCGACTCTTCCTCAAGGCCGCTCCGGGTGGTGCGGCGCCCTCGATAGAGGCCTTCTCTCGGCAAGCGGAGGACCGTGGGATCCCCGTGGAAATGGTGCGGAGGAAGGTGCTGGATCAGCTCTGCCACGGTGGCGTCCATCAAGGAGTCTGTTTGGAGGCCACGCCCCTTCACCCCATTGACTGGACCTGCCGGATGGAGGGAGCCACCACCGAAAAAGCCACGCAGCTCCTCTGGGTGGCCTTGGAGGGAATCCTAGACCCCATGAACCTCGGAGCGGTCCTGCGCTCGGCCCACTTCCTTGGTGTCGATGGAATTGTGATGAGTCGAAAGAACAGGTCGGTTATATTGATTTGTTTTAAAGCTGCTTTGAGAGAAAACTAAGAAGGTAAAGGTTTCCCAGGAGCCCCCGGTGGCGCAGTGGGTTAAAGCACTGAGCTGCTGAGCTTGTTGATCGAAAGGTCGCAGGTTCGATTCTGGGGAGCGGCGTGAGCTTCCGCTGTCAGCCCTAGCTTCTGCCAACCTAGCAGTTCGAAAACATGCAAATGTGAGTAGATCAATAGGTACCGCTCCGGCGGGAAGGTAAGGGCGCTCCATGCAGTCATGCCGGCCACATGACCTTGGAGGTGTCTACGGACAACGCCGGCTCTTCGGCTTAGAAATGGAGATGAGCACCACACCCCAGAGTCAGACATGACTGGACTTAATGTCAGGGGACAACCTTTACCTTAAAGGTTTCCCCTTGACACTAAGTGTAGTCGTGTCCAACTCTGGGGGTTGGTGCTCATTTCCATTTCTAAGCCAAAGAGCCGGCATTGTCCTTAGACACCTCCTAGGTCATGTGGCCAGCATGACTGCATGGATCGCCGTTACCATCCCTACTGATCTACTCACATTTCCATGTTTTTGAACTGCTAGGTTGTCAGAAGTTGGGGCTAACAGTGGAAGCTCACCCCGCTTCCCGGATCTGAACCACCAGCCTTTCAGTCCGCAAGTTCAGCAGCTCAGCAGTTTAACCCACTGCCGCTAGTGGGCCAGAGCCCCCGGTGGCGCAGTGGGTTAAACCCCTATGCTGGCAGGACTGAAGACCGACAGGTCGCAGGTTCGAATCCGGGGAGAGGCGGATGAGCTCCCTCTATCAGCTCCAGCTCCTCATGCGGGGACATGAGAGAAGCCTCCCAAGGATGATAAAAAAACATCAAATCATCCAGGCGTCCCCTGGGCAACGTCCTTGCAGACGGCCAATTCTCTCACACCAGAAGCGACTTGCAGTTTCTCAAGTTGCAGGGTGAGCTCCTGTCTGTCAGCTCCAGCTTCCCATGCAGGGACAAGAGAGCAGCTTCCCACAAGATGGTAAAACATCCGGGCAATGTCCCCTGCAGACGGCCAATTCTCTCACACCAGAAGCAACTTGCAGTTTCTCAAGTCACTCCTGACACGACAAAAACAAAAAAAACAAAAAAAAACCAAAACAGTGGGCCCACCATTGTTGTTGTTGTTGTTGTTGTTGTTGTTGTTGTTGTTGTTATTATTATTATTACTACTAGCCAACCCCTGCCATGCGTTCCTGTGGCCCAGTCTGTATATATATGTTTTGTGTGTGTATATATGTGTTTATATGTGTATATATATGTGTTTGTGTGTATATATATTTATGGGTTTATATATTTGTATGCATATGTTTGTGTATATATCTGTATATATATGTGTATATATTTCTGTGTTCATATGTGTATATGTATATTGCGTATATTTGCATGCTTGTCTATGCATATTTGTGTGTATATATGTGTGTATGTATATTTGTGTGCATGTGTATATGTATATATGTGTATATGTGTGCATGTGTATATTTGTGTGTGTTAATGTGTATATGTATATATATGTATGTATATGTATGTGTGTGTATATTTGTGTGTGCTTGTGTATATATATATGTGTGTGTGTATGTACATGTGCATATGTATATGAGTGTATGTGTATATGTATATATGGTATATCGTTGGGATTTTTTGTGTTTTTAAGAGTGATGAACACTCGTTGGCCTGATACGTGTTGTGTGTCCAAATTTGGTGTCAATTCGTCCAGTGGTTTTTGAGTTATGTTAATCCCACAAACAAACATTACATTTTTATTTATATAGATGATGATGATGATGATGATGATTATTATTATTATTGTGTTCCCTCACTTATCGTGGGTGTTATGTTCCAGGACCACCCGCGAAAAGTGAAAATACACAAAGTAGTGACACTATATATGTATATCAACCTTCAAAACATCAATTCATCCGGGCGTCCTCTGGGCAACGTCCTTGCAGATGGCCAATTCTCTCACACCAGAAGCAACTTGCAGTTTCTCAAGTTGCTCCTGACACGACAAAAATAATAATATGTATATCGCATTCCGAGGGTGAGGCAGAATTGAGAAGAGATTTAAAGGCACAGCACACTTTTTTTTGCTAGCTATCTCGGCTTTTCTTTGGAATCTCTCTCGATTGGCAGCCTCTCTCCCGAGGGGGAGGGTGACACCCCCTTCCACACTCCATCATTACCAGGAGGTGGGATTAGAATGCTACTCTGGGCAACGGCAACCATTCATAAACTGGGAGACAAAAAACCCGCGAAACAGCAAGTCCGCGAAAAGTGAACCACGAAGTAGCAAGGGAACACTATATTATATTCATGTCAGATTCAAAGATGAATCCCAGACACTTGGACCTAAGGTGCATGTGTGTTGTGCTGTTATGTACATGTAATAATAATAATAATAATAATAATAATAATAATAATAATTGTTAGGATTAACTTCACAATTCAGCAGCAGATCAGTTGTACAACTTCAGCGCTTTCCAGTAGCTTCTTCCTGCACAGTATTTTCAGTCAACTGCTCCCACAAACTGCAGTCACTCTGGAACTCTCCACAGACACTTGAGCACATGCCCGGCCATTGTCAGTTTTACCATTGTCTTCCCCCCAGTCTAGATGATATTACAGCCTTACCACAGCACACAGTTATATCTTGTCTTAGCAGACAGATTCTTTTAATTACATATAGCCTTCGACGAACAACATCACAGCACAAGGAGAAATATACACTGTACACGACTTCCTTATATACAATTCATTTACACATAGCAATCTCTGATTGGTTCCCAACTCATTGACTTAACTCAGACCCAGGATTACATCATCCACAATCAGGCCTGTAGCGAGGGGGGGGGGGCTAGGGGTTCAACCCCCCCCCCTCCGAAATTTTTCAGGTTAAAAAAACCTGGTTTACTCATGAATTTTAACTGGTTAACCAAATCCCCATGCTAAGTCTATGAGACGCAAAAAAATAAGAATCCCTCCAGACCTGCAAGCACTATCTCAAGCAAATATTGACAATTTATTCACACTGTCATTACTTGCAGCAATAGCCGATGTAGCGAAGCAACCAAGTTGGGGGTGTTGAATGCTCTCATTAAGGAGGCCAGACTTGGTGGAGGTGGTTGACAGGGGTGGAGCTGCAGGCTATTGAAGGCTGCTCTGCCCCCTGCTGTGCTCTTTGCTTCAGCGTGAGCTAGGAGGCAGGTTTCAACCGCCCCCCCCCCTGAAATTTTCAACCCCCCTGCGAAAATTTCAAACCCCCCCGTGAAAATTTCAACCCCCCCCCGAAAATTTCAACCCCCCCCCGTGAAAATTTCAACCCCCCGTGAAAATTTCAACCCCCCCCCGCGAAAATTTCAACCCCTGAAAATTTCAACCCCCCCGCAAAAATTTCACCCCCCTGAAAATTTCAACCCCCCCTCTCCCCCCCCGAAATTTTCAAACCCCCCCCCCCCCCCACAAATTTCATCCCCTCCCGAAATTTTTTTCTGGCTACGGCCCTGTCCACAATCACCTGGACTAGGCCAGAACACATTCCCCAAATGAATCCCTATATACAGTTAATGCATGACAGCATTTCCAATAGAAGCCCATTAGCAGTGCATGACTCAGCTATTCTCTCCTGTGCTTTACTAATAATATAATCTATATAAATAAAAATGTAATGTTTGTTTGTGGGATTAACATAACTCAAAAACCACTGGACGAAATGACACCAAATTTGGACACAATACACCTATCAGGCCAACGAGTGACCATCACTCATAAAAACACTGAGAAACACAGCGGAAGGGACTTAAAAAGCCAAAAAACAAAATACATTACAACGTATGCCCAAAACCACATATATACACAAATATATAAACACACAGAAAACACATATACACAGACTGGGCCACAGCAATGCGTGGCACGGGATGGCTAGTAATATAATAAATGTGGTGTGTCCATTTTGGATTGACACAGTGTGCATCCTAGCTTCAAAACAAACATCTACGCCAATGCATAGAATCATAGAGTTGGAAGAGACCCCATGGGCCATCTAGTCCAACCCCCTGCCAAGAAGCAGGAAGATTGCATTCAAAGCACCCCTGACAGATGGCCATCCAGCCTCTGTTTAAAAGCCTCCAAAGAAGGAGTCTCCACTACCGCATGTTGACCTTTTGTTTTATCTGAAGCTTTGCTTGGCCTTTCTCTTCACAGCTGCCCCTTGACTCCTGTGGTCAGCAAAGCCAGCTCTGGGGCCATGGAAGTCTTGGATGTCTTCGGTGCTGATGATCTTCCAAGCTTTCTCAAGGTACAGTAACGTTGTTGCTGGCGACTCATGTCCGTCATCCTGAGACGTCATGTATATATTTATTTATATTGTGTTCAGATCCTTGAAGGCTAGATATTATTTCCATCTGGATGTAGCTCTGTGGTCAACTTCTGATGTTTGAAGTTGTGTTGTCATTCACGGATAGGATCCATGGCTTACAAAACAGCCAAAATTGAATTTTTGGAACCTGGATCTGAATCGGTTTTACCTGTACTCACCTTTTTGGAAAATGGAAATTTCCATAACCTTTTGGAAAATGGCATTCGTAACCTTTTGGGAAAACTAGGAATTTTTTGGAAAGGCATCGACTTTGTTAGAGATTGCAACCTTTTGTAAAATATGATCTTTTAGTATGGTATGTATCCACTAGTATTCATGGAGTACTCATGGAGCCCCCGGTGGCGCAGTGGGTTAAACCCCTGTGCCGGCAGAACTGAAGACCGACAGGTCGCAGGTTCGAATCCGGGAGAGGCGGATGAGCTCCCTCTGTCAGCTCCAGCTCCTCATGCGGGGACATGAAGCCTCCCACAAGGATGATAAAAACATCAAATCATCTGGGTGTCCCCTGGGCAACGTCCTTGCAGACGGCCAATTCTCTCACACCAGAAGTGACTTGCAGTTTCCCAAGTCGCTCCTGACACGACAAAAAACAAAACAAAACTAGTATTCATGTAAGGCAATTAGGTTTCTCAGCTGTTAGACTGATATACCACCCCTCCCATCCCCTTTAATGCTTTGACCCCCTCCTATCAGTCTTCCCCCCTTCGGTACCATACATATTACATTAACATTACATTAGCCTCAATAATATCCACTAATATTCATGCAAGGCAGTTAGGTTTCTCAGCTGTTAGACTGATATACCGCCCCTCCCATCCCCTTTAGTGCTTTGACCACCTCCTATCAGTCTTCCCCCCTTCGTTACTGAGGCGAGGGAGAGAGACTATTTCCTTATTAATAAAAATAACCTCTTTACTGCCTTATACTGATTCAGTTTCTTCTTTTATATTGGCTGGGATTTTCTGTGTGCTGTTTTATCTTTGTACTTTATATCACAGGCAATGAGACACTCTTGTGTATAACGAAGTAACACAGTTTATTTATAACTTCTGGCTCCAATGCTTGTGGTTACATTTGTGTTTTGTTGCAATCTTGAGGCTTACAGTCAGTATCATTTACTTGGTTTACTTTTCTGCGACCTTTCGATCAACAAGCTCAGCAGCTCAGCAGCTTCTGAATAGACTTTCAATGTTTCACATTCACAAACATGTTACTTGCTTTACACACACTTGGCAGAATTATATTCTGACTAAAGCAACACTGGCTTTCTTTATGTTCCTTAAAACTCGAGCTCTATTTAACTAACTGCTTCTCTATATCAGAAGTCTTTAATACATCTTCATAACTGCTTATTTCTAACAGGCACTCAAAAACCCAACTATCCTTTTCACACACAGATTCCTAACTGTCATTTTTCAAACTCTCACTTTAACTGCCTCTTTCAAAACCTTGGCTCCGCCCCTTTGGAATGTTCAGCTCTGCTCTCCCCAACTGTCATTTTGGCCTCTCAGCCTTTTCAAATCCTGGGCCTACGCTAATCTGCATATGACCAATCGGCTTCACATATGCAAATGAATCCTATCTCTGCTGTTGCTACCCTGTCTGTGCCTATTCTTCCCTATCTGCCATATGTAAACATAGAGCTATGCACCAAAAATTTAACATAGAGTAACAATTTCGCTACAGTTATCATACCTATTACATTAACATTAAATTACCCTCCTTAGTGGTAAATAATATCCACTAATATTCATGCAATGCAATTAGGTTTCTCAGCTGTTAGACTGATATACCGCCCCTCCCATCCCCTTTAGTGCTTTGACCCCGTCCTATCAGTCTTCCCCTTTTTGTTACTATACCTATTACATTAACATTACATTACCCTCCTTAGTGGTCAATAATATCCACTAATATTCATGCAAGGCAGTTAGGTTTCTCGGCTGTTAGACTGATATACCGCCCCTCCCATCCCCTTTAGTGCTTTGACCACTCCTATCAGTCTTCCCCCCTTTGGTTCCATACCGGTTGGTATGGTAAACCAGCAAATCCCTCTCCAATGCCAGAAATAAAGCTTAAAGGGGTAAAATTAGGAAATGTTGATCATTTCCGCTACCTTGGCAGCCACCTTTCCACCAAAGTCAACATTGACATCGAAATACAACACCGCCTGAGCTCTGCGAGTACAGCATTTTTCCGAATGAAGCAGAGAGTGTTTGAGGACTGGAACATCCGTAGGGAGACCAAGGTGCTCGTTTATAAAGCGATTGTCCTCCCAACACTGCTATACGCCTGTGAAACATGGACTGTCTACAGATGTCGCGTGCAACTCCTAGAACGTTTCCATCAGCGTTGCCTCCGAAAAATCCTGTCAATCTCTTGGGAAGACAAGCGGGGAAATGTCAGCGTGCTGGAAGAAGCAAAGACCACCAGCATTGAAGTGCTGGTCCTCCGCTATCAACTCCATTGGACCGGCCACGTTGTCCGAATGCCCAAAGCAGTTAGTCTATTCCTAACTCAAGAACGGAAAGCGGAATGTTGGAGGGCAGGAAAAGAGATTGAAAGATGGGCTGAAAGCCAACCTTACATCTCTGGCATAGACACTGAGAACTGGGAAGCCCTGGCTCTTGAGTGCTCTAGCTGGAGGTCAGCTGTGACCAGCAGTGCTGTGGAATTTGAAGAGGCACGAATGGAGGGTGAAAGAGAGAAATGTGCCAAGAGGAAGGTGCATCGAGCTAACCCCAACTGGGACTACCTTCCACCTCACTGCGGGAAAAGATGCAGGTCAAGAATCGGGCTCCACAGTCACCTACGGACCCACTGCCAGTACACTGATCCTCGAAGACTATCCTACTCGGACAACAAGGGATCGCCTGAGTAAGTAAGTACCATACCTGTTACATTCACATTACATTAGTAGTAAATAATATCCACTATTATTTAGGTTTCTCGGTTGTTAGACTGCTATACCTAGATATCTCTTTGAACTGTTAGGGACAAAGATATGCCAATGCACCATATATATATATATATATATATATATATATATATATATATATATATAAAGGTAAAGGTAGTCCCCTGACATTAAGTCCAGTCATGTCTGACTCTGGGGTGTGGTGCTCATCTCCATTTCTAAGCCGAAGAGTCAGAGTTGTCCGTAGACACCTCCAAGGTCATGTGGTCGGCATGACTGCATGGAGCGCCCTTACCTTCCCGCCGGAGCGGTACCTATTGATCTACTCACATTTACATGTTTTCGAACTGCTAGGTTGGCAGAAGCTAGGGCTGACAGCGGAAGCTCACGCCGCTCCCCGGAATCGAACCTGCGACCTTTCGATCAACAAGCTCAGCAGCTCAGTGCTTTAACCCACTGCGCCACCGGGGGCTCCATATATATATATATATATATAGCGCAGAGTTTCAAAAATGTTCTTTCAGTTGCCCAAAAAACATCTACTCTCCCCTAAAACATCTTGGTTTCAATCAATGGTTCTCAACCTGTGGGTCCCCATGTGTTTTGGCCTACAACTCCCAGAATTCCCAGCCAGTTTACCAGTGGTTAGGATTTCTGGGAGTTGAAGGCCAAAACATCTGGAGACACACAGGTTGAGATCCACTCCCAAGAGACAAAATAAGTAGTCTTCATTAAAAGTAACATTGTTAGTTGCTCACAAACTTCATGTCGTTGGAACGGGATTTTTCCATCTCGACTGAAACAAGCGGTGGTTCGCCCACTCCTAAAAAAGGTCTCCCTTGACTCCACGGTGCTGAATAACTTCAAATCAATCTCCAACCTCCCTTTCTTGGGCAAGGTGCTGGAGCAAGTGGTCGCCTTCCAGCTCCAGGGTTTTCTAGATGACAACTACTACCTAGATCAGTCACAGTCTGGTTTCAGGCCTGGTCACGGTACCGAGACGGCCTTGCTCGCCTTGGTGGATGACCTCCGTAGAGAGCTGGACAGGGGGAGTGTGACTCTGTTGGTCCTCTTCGATATCTCAGCGGCTTTTGATACCATCGACCATGGTATCCTTCTGGGTCAACTCTCTGGGATGGGTCTCGGGGGCTCGGTGCTGTCGTGGCTCCTGTCCTTCCTGGAGGGTCGATCCCAGATGGTGAAGCTGGGAGATGCCTGCTCGGACCCCTGGCCTTTGACATGTGGGGTCCCGCAATGCTTTATTCTGTCTCCCATGCTCTTTAACATCTGGAGAGGTCATCCAGAGTTTTGGAGTTGGGTGCCATCTCTATGCAGATGACACACAACTCTACTACTCTTTTCCACCTAACTCCAAGGAGGCCTCTCGAGTGCTGGACGAGTGCTTGGCTGCTGTGGTTGTCTGGATGAGGAAGAACAAGCTGAAGATCAATCCCGACAAGACAGAGGTCCTCCTGGTCGATCGTAAACCGGATCGGGGTATAGGGTGGCAACCTGTGTTGGACAGGGTTACACTCCCCCTGAAGTCACAGGTCCGCAGTTTGGGATTCATCACTTACGCTTGAGGCTCAGGTGTCAGCGGTGTCCAGGAGGGCCTTTACGCAATTGAGACTTGTGCGCCAGCTGCGACCGTACCTCGCAAAGGCTGATCTGGCCGGGGTGATCCATGCCTTGGTCACCTCTCGACTGGACTACTGTAATGCGCTTTACGTAGGGCTGCTCTTGAAAACGGCTCGGAAATTTCAACTGGTCCAACGTGCAGTGGCCAGGATGTTAACTGGGGCTCCTTACAGAGAGAGGTCAACCCTCCTGTTTAAGGAGCTCCACTGGCTGCCGTTTATTTTCCGAGCCCAATTCAAGGTGCAGGTGCTTACCTACAAAGCCCTAAACAGTTTGGGACCTGTCTACCTGCGTGACCGTATCTCCGTTTATGAACCCACGCGCTCTCTTCGTTCAACCGGAGAGGCCCTGCTTGCGATCCCACCTG